TGTGTGTGTGTGTGTGTGTGTGTGTGTGTGTGTGTGTGTGTGTGTGTTTGTGCTCACCATCCCTAAACATAAACCAGATCCCTTCAGCTTACCTCTTCTGTGGAAACATATATTTTCTATTATATTTTTGTCAGGGAACATTCCTCAACAGAATTATTTGTAAGTTAATTATACTGAAACCTTTACATTTGAATTATTAATTGAAGTTACAAGTTAATAGCTGAAAAAGTTTTGATTCTTGTTCCAAATTTTGGATGGGCTGTATTATTCTTAAAAGCGTTAAGAGCTAATGCCTATTTTCTGCAAGTAGAAAAATGTGTAGTTAATTATTAGAATAGATATTACCAGGACTATGAATACTTCAGAAATGATTGAAGAAAAGTGCTTCAGGTTCTACATGACAATGAACACGGCACTTTTCCATTATTTTTTGATGTTGCCTGACAATTTCAGCTTAACAAAGATTCAACTTTGCATATTTTTGTCAGGCACACATGGAAGCCTGAAAAAAGTTGGGCGGCTTTAATAAATGGTGTTACAAGTATGTTTGCAAACGGTGCAACCTCCTTATTCCCAGTCATTTTTGAAGCATATGAAAATCTTTATTGTCTGCTGATACAATGTATCATTTTGAATTTTCTCACTTTAATGTTAAGATAGTGTAACTCTACTTATTTATATGTACTAGTACATACAACACAAATATCAAACAAACAATAAAAGTTGGCCTTTTATAATGCTTTGGAGGATTTTTTCCCTTTGGGCATCTGTTTGTATATTGTTTGTAGCTGTTCTGGATATTGAGTAAGATTTAAATAATAAGCCTTGTATAGTCTGCATCTGTGTATTTGCAAATAACATGCATGAAGACAACAAGTGTATACTTTGCATTGCCAATCCTGCTTCAAATGATTATTTTAAAATTCTTTTGGAGAGTCATTTTTCCCCCTCCTACTGAATCTCCAGAAATATATATGCTAAAATTTCTAAGCTTTATTCTCAATTATCAAACATACCTTAATATGTAATCAGATAGGTTTTGGGGTATTATTCAGCAGGGGCTGATGCCAATAACCTGACCTATCCTATCTCCTGCCATATCCCACTATTGGTCATATCAGGCAACTTGAAGACATATGGACTTCCATGCTGGTTGAGAATTCCACACATCTTGTTGGAGTTTCCAATATTAAGAAACATCACACTATCTTATGAATATAGGATTTTGTTCTTTCCCAGAGATTATCTAACAGCTTGGTTGGCCTCTTTGATCAAATACAATGCACTCTTGATTCTGAAAAGTTTTTCCAGGTTTTTCTTTGTGCTTGTTTTGAGTTGCTAGGAGAGAAATAAATGCATCCCTGATTCCTGCCCACTTCTACAAAAATTAGATTGATCTCCAGTTGCTTTCCTACCACAGCCATATGAATTCCTCCCCCTGAATTTCTGACTGGGGGCCAGAAACATCTTGCATGGAAGGGAAGTGATCAGTTATGTTTGGTGAAGCTGAAATGTTTTTTTTAAAAAACAACAACAACAACAAAGGCTATTTCAGCAGAAAATGATCTAAATTTCTTCAGTGACATACATATTCTTGAGGAGCTATTACTGTAGGGTTGGTATAACAGACATCAGTGCCCTCTTTTTCCATATCTGAGTGTATTATATATGCACATGTTCTGAAAAATCACTTGCATATATAAATCTATTTTTATGTAGATTTACAAAAAAAAACTTGGAATTTATTTCATGTATCAGTGCTAAAATTGCTGTGAATGTGCTCTTTATGTGAACTATGCTAGATGTCACATGAGGGTTGCAACATCTGCCTTATCAAGTCTGTAAGAATAGCACTATGATGCATCACAGAAGAAAAAAAATCCTGCTTTGAACTTGAAAGCATGCAGAAGTAGTACAGTGAGGAAATAAATATGTTTCCTAACTGTGCTGTAATCTGGATCTCATTCTCTCTTGGATTCTCTTTAAGGTTAGCCCACCTGATGCCGAGCAACTGGCATATTGAATGTTTTACAGATGGTCCAACATCAGTGACTCATGTAGCTGTAGATGATTATCTGTCACACAGATGTTTTAGCTTGTATTTTTCAACTGGCCAGTCAGAAGCAACCATTTCTGGTGGCTCAGAAGCAGATGTTTCAAATGTCTGAATATCTTGTCCATTCTGAAGATAAGCATTGCAGAGCCACTGCAGAAGTATTGGAAGCAATTGGAGAATGTGTGTTTCCTTATACAGTTTCTATCTTACTTTTTATCATCAGACTAGAAGAGATCAATATGCTGTTATTCCTTGCTCTTACCAAATGTGCTGTTGTTTTCAGAAGCAAATCTGGGATCCCAATTGAAATTATTGCCAGTCTTTTAATTTTCTTCTTGCATTTTCTTCATTTATTCAAGCATATATCATTGCAGTTAGTCAATGTAAATATCAACAGCCCAAGAGTGTCAACTTTGCAAAGAGTTCAGTTATAATGAATAAAAGAATAAAGAAAAGCCAATGAAATTTAAGAAATGACAGTGATGCAATCTGAAAACTATGGGAGTGTTCTGATAACTTTAAGATAAAGTTAATGGAACATTTATATAAATATTGCTAAATAGTAGGTAGTTAGCCAAGTTTAAACAAAAAAATAATTATCTGTTTTCTCCTTCAGAGTTGTTACAAAAGGTGTTGAAATTTATCTAACATGATGTTAATCAAACACACAATAATCTTTTCCATTATTCCCCAATGTTGTTTCTACACATTCGTCTGTAAAGACTGGAGACTGAAAAACTCTACACTGTATTTTAAAGCTACTATATTTTTTATAAACCATTCAATAAATATAATAGATTTAAAATAAAATTAATATTTAGAATTTGAAAACACAACTATTAAGCTTATTTTACTCTAATTAATAATTGGACCAAGCAAAACAAACCTTGTAACAAAGGGTAGAGTACATCAAGAGGCAAGTGGACTTAGCGGAAGCTCCATTGTTTCTGGCTCCAGACTTTATTAGATATGTTGTTACTCCTGCCAGTTATCTTAGCCAGGTGGAAACAGCAAACCCCTGAAAAATATTTTCGCTTGCATGGTGCTTTGTGCTTCCATCTGCTGTCCTGAAATCTTCAATATCTGATCCAGAGGTAGTATTCAGCAAATCCTGGAGAACCAGTAGCGGACATTTTGAATAGCTCAGAGAACTGGCAAATGTCACCCCTGATTGGAGATTTTACAGTGTCCTTCTGCCATGCCCACCAAGCCATGCCCACAAAATTGGTAGTAAAAAAATTTGAATCCCACCACTGATCTGATCAGTTACGTGACTATGTAATTTTAAGCTCATACTTTAATGATCTTATAGCTAATATATTTCTTACTTGGGATAGACCACCATATAGTATATGAATATAATTGTATACACAGTAGAACCTCTGGTCATAACCATAATTTGTTCCATAATTTTGGTGATATTTTTCATCATCTAATGTTTTGTCTTCAGGAATTTCTGGGTAGGGGTCATGTTTGATCGTCACCTGAGCATGTGTTTGTGACCAGATTCAAAATTTTTATAAATTTTTTGATCAGAACCCGATTTGGTTGTAGTCAGAAGAGTTCGTGATCAGAGGTTCTACTGTATATTTTAATGGACTTCTCACATATACATTATTGTATAGTTTCTTCTAGTGAACAGTAGTTTCTTTCAATGCAAAATTGTATTTTGCTGTAATATACAAGTTTCAGTTTTATTGTCCACTGCAAATTAAGTCCTTTATATTTGAGAGATCTAGAGTGGTTTATTCTTATAAAATTATTGTGCTAGAAATTGCTCATCTAATCCCATTGTAAATAATTGAGCCAAATGGCTTTTCATCTTTATATTTTCTGTTTACTCCTTTCACTCCATTCCTGTTTTGTATTTCAGATGCTTTCTAAGTCCATAGAACAATTAAAACAACCTGGCAGTTTGGAAGAAGCTGAAGAAGAACTTCAAGGAGAACATTTGATGCAGGAAGAAGGAGCTGCCCCTGTTGGTGTCAGTGCTAGGGATAACAGCAGTAGCATTTCTTTGCACAACTTGGGACAACCTTTTGGAGCTGTGAAAGTGAAAGAAGAACCAAAGGACAGTGGTGACAGTATTCAAAATCAACAAATGGAATCTGGGGAGCAGTCTGCTTTTATGCAACAGGTAATAGGCACAGATTTAGCTCCAGATTTTATTGTTAAAGTGATTATTTGAGTACAATAATGTTAACATTTAAAAATTCCTGATAAAGAGAATGGAAATTTTTTCCATCCTCAGAATCCCAAAGAGTTGTGCAATTTAACATTCAGCATAATGAAGAACATAGATGTGTCTATAATTTAGGTATAGTGAAAAAGTGCTTGTTAAATTAAAGAACTCTTGCTATTGTATATACCTTTTAGTAATTAGTAGAAGTCATATTAGTTATAGTAGATTCTGCCACATTAGATATAGCGGAAAGGAACTTGTGTTGTATAAACTTTCTATGGAGATCAGTGACTACTGACCAAACCTGAGAATCGTGTTTTTTATACTCACCCTTGCCTATCTCTAAGCCTTTTTTGATATTGCTTAATGTACAATTTATTCACTTTGTATATGTACAATAGTAGTCCTATACACTGTTAAAGGGAGAGAAATCTTTCCTTTGTTACAAAATACTGGTCCAAATACCAGTGATCTGAGCTTTGTATATAATATGAGGGAACCAATGTAGAAAGCTAATGCAAAATTGAATGTATTTTTAAAATGAATTTTTTTCTCTCCATTTTCATTAACTTTATGTGAATTTTCCAGAAAAAAAGCATTTTTTTCTATATTTAGTTTGAAGGTATTTGTAGCAAGGAACCTAACTTTTAAGTTATTAAATCTTTTCTTGTTAGTTGATTTGTTCTCAAATGACAACACAGCATGCACTGTGGCAGAAAAGTTTACATTTAATGACAGTGTCAATATGTTTTGCATCCTCCTCATTCTTTGTTTAAAAGGCAACAATCATTCATTACAGAAAACATCAATCCCTGAAAGAAAGTGGGAACGTTCTGCAAAGCATACATGCTTCTGTGATTACTCAGATTCCTAGTTATATGTGAATGATAAAATATGATAAAACAATAATATCATTGGAAATTCTTTTCTTAAGAACTATGAATAAAAGTACGTAGTGTTTAAATACAAACTCTAATATGCCAAAAAGGATATTTTCTCCCCTAAGGCATGCATGCATTTGTAGGTAATTGTGCCTCCAAAAGGATTGTGGTCCTTTCAACTGCTATATCATTGAGATAATTTGATATGCAGTACAAACAGTTGCTGACTTAACACAGAGCTATGTCAGCCACTTCTTTTTTCCTGAAGAATAATAATGGTGTGGAGGTAGACAGAAGTGCCTTGTGGAAACAGGAAGTCCAAGTAATTCATGCACTTGGAATGTAAGAACACAGCAAAGAGAAGCAGAGGCTAGTGTTTTATTCTCTGTTTTGTAAAGGGCACTCTGTAAGTTGATTTATGTTAAGAGAAAATAGCATGGTGAATAGGGAAATTGTTAAGGAAGTTTTCCAGTGAAACATTTCCTTTTCTATTTCCTTTTGATATGTTTACTCTGTTGTAGTTTACTTTTGTTTAGCTAAAGATTCATTGTATTAACATCTCCTTATGCATAATTCAGGATTGACCTGGAATGAATTTTGAATTTTCTCTTATGTTGTTTATATTTTAAGGTATTTTAAGATTCAGTATACTTTTTAACAATGGTATTTTGCCAAATGAAGAATATTCTTCTAATATAAGCTTGTAGTATTTACATTTTAACTCTATTTTTTTAAAAAAATCATTATAAAATTTTGCAATATGTACAGACTAACATTTTTCATATGAGTGTGCATATATAAATGTATATGCCTATACATATAAGACAGAGTATGCAAATACAATGTGCTTATAATTGATTATTTTCTTACAGTGGACAAAATTCATAGCCTAAGGTTTATATGCACCCAGGTTATTTCTTGTCACAAATGTAGATATTTACCTAATTCATCATATGTAAGCGCAACAAAAAAGGTAGAAATACTATGGTGTACATGAGTTTCTTTCACAGGGGAAATACCAGGATAAGAAAATAGTAATATGTGAAACAATTCTAAACTATATACCTATAGCAAAACCGTTGCCTTTTCAACTGATATATATTGGTTTATTATTTTCTTTAGACTTTAGATTGTTTATTTGGTGCTATTCCCACCACTTCTTAATAGTGTATCTGGCTTCCCACAAACAGTTTTATTTATTAAATCTAAAACAGACAACTGCACCATTCAACTTCTTAAATATGTGCTCCAGGAGGAGGAGGGGATATAAGCTGATAATTCATTATTGAACTTTGGGAACAGTTTTTACCCCCAGTAGAGATGAGTATTTCCATCAATATTATGTACAGAAAGACCATTGTGAAGTTTTAGAATATAATACATCTTTGGAAGCTATTCTTTCTTGAACATAAATCATCAAGTAGGCATATAATATGTATCATGTTATATGTTAATAACATAAAGAAAGCATATAAAGTATGTTCTGATCCTACACATTTTTGTTTCTTTCTTACAGTCTTTTAGCACAGAGAAGCAGAAAAACTGCATTTTTTAAAACATATTTTATATGGTACTTGAACACATTTTTCTATAAAATGTTTCAAAAATACATGTAACTAGAAAGAAAGAAATGTATTTTTATAATGCAATCAGGTAAACTTATCCCATTTTAGCCAACAGATTGCTATGCCATTTAAATTTTTCAGAAATTACCTGAAGCCAGTGTAAAGGAAAAACTGGGTTTAAGAAATTTTATTTTTGATTGCCACATTTAAAATCTATTGTACTCATTATAACTTACACTTTTGGTGATTTCTTGTTCGTGTTATAAAATATTTTGTTTGTATGTTCCCTATTTTACCTAATACAAATTTATATATTCCTTTCACAAATAAAGTTTTTTTTTCTCAAATAATTTTCTTTCACCGACTTGACTTTGTGTAAATTTGATTAATTCTTAAAGCTAGTTCTTTTTATTTGATATTGGCAATACATTTGCTTATTACTGTTCAAACAATGGATTTAGAAGCATGATTTTATTCCCCAGTTTAAATTACACAAAGTCTATTTTTGATCTGTTATGTGATCCCACATTAACCATCACACGTTGCAAAAATATGGAAAAATCATTTGTGCATGTTCATTTTATCTTCATCACATTTGTCTTAATTTGTTAATCAACCATTTTATCATCTTAACGAATTTAGAATAAATACCAGTTTTCCGAATTTTGATTCTAGTTATTTGAAGTTTTGACCCATAGATATGGTTTGACACCAAGTGTTTTAAAAATTAGTATGGAAGTGATTTATTTGCTCATGAAATATTATAGAATTGGTGGTAATCCTGAGGAATTTACAGTTAAGAAATACAAGATGACCATATTAAGCTTATTATAAAAAATCACACATTAACAACTAACATACCAGCGTAGGACAAATTGGTAATATTTCAAATTCATTCAAATCAGTAGGAATAAGTCATGGCCATGTCTTATTTACCCAAATACTTACACTACAATGAAACAAATACCCATGCTTATTGTCACAGGATAAGTTCAGTTTCTTCAAGTAACTCCTAGAACAACATTTATGGGATTACATGTTTTCTGGAGTGATGTCAACTATGAAACAAAATCTACCCCCTCTTCCCAAGGGGAGGCGCTCAGATATCAACTTGGGCATGAATGTACATTTTTTATAAAAAGCTAAATATGCTACAGTGAAAACATATTAACATATGGTCAGCAGCCAAGCCCTCATCTGCTGAAATAGACTAATGAAGCTTAAGCAGTACTGAATATTGTAGCCTCTAAGGTACCACAAGTTTCCTCATATTTTCCCTTCAGAAAATTTAATACAGCTATCTTTCTGGAAGCTCTTTCTTTGTATGCCATTCCTGTTGAAAAAGATTCTAAATAAATATTTAAAAATTAGTAAATATATTAAAGAAATCTTGTGTGTGCACATTATAAAAAATTAAAGCTGTATTTTCTAGTTCAAACTTCATGCCTTAATTATTTTTGTCTGGGGAAAACTATTTTTGATATAGCATTCACAATATCATATCCATTTGTAACATCAACAGATAGGGAGGTGCAAAACATTCCAAATTATTTGTGTTGCAATATGGAAATGCTGTGTTTCAAGTTTGAACCATTGCAGAAGTGTTTCAAATTTGAAATAATTCTGCTTCAGATACAAAATAGTTGTCGATCTTTAATTAGGGCCATTTTTACATCAACAAACTTCAAACAGTTGGGACAATCCATTTTGATCTCAAAACATTTCCAACACAAAGCGTTTAACAACCATATCAACCTGAAGTCATTTTTTGTAATGTGTTTTTCCACATCCTGTCAATTATTAAATATTTATGTATGAATGACATTTCATTCCATAAAATATTAGAATTCAAAAGAAAAACAAACTTATGTCTCTCCTCAAAGAGTTAAAGTGGCTACCAGCATAATTTCTTCAAAAGCTTGTCCTAATATGTGTTCATTTGTGCAAGGAATGAAATAGTTAATTATACATGCAGACACAATACAGATAGTCATCATATTACTATAAAAATTGAAACAGAATTTCCATTGCAAAGCAAGGCAATTAAATGAATCGTGTCTAATTTTATGACCTTTTTTGTCATAGTTATTAAATGAATCACTGCAGTTGTTAAGTGCATCGTCCAGTCGTTAAACAAATTGGACTTCTCCAATTGACTTTGCTTGTTGGAATCTATCTGGGAAAATCACAAATAGTAATTACATGACCTTGGGATGCTGTTATTGTCATACAATTGTCATACAATTGTCTTATGCCAGATGCCAAGCATCCAGATTTTGATTATGTGATCTTGGGGATGTTGCAACAATCATAAGTGCAAAGATTGGTCATATTGGTCACTTTTTTCAGTGCTGTCATAACTTTGAATAGTTGCTAAATGAATGGTTATAAGTCGAACACTATTGTATGGGCTGCCTTCAAAGTAGTTGTATCCAATGTTCTAGAGCAGTATTTCTTGGCAACTTCGGGAATTCAGCTTCAAGAATTCCATAGCTAGCATGCGATAGGG